TATATATATATATATATATATTTCAGAGAGAGGAAGAGAGAGAGAGAAACATCAATGATGAGAGTCTGATGGGCCACCTCCCTACTGGGGTTCGAGCCCGAAACCCCGGCCTGTGTCCTGACCGGGAATCGAACCGTGACCTCCTGGGTCATAGGTCGGTGCTCAACCACTGAGCCACGCCGGCTGAGGGATACTGACTTTTAAGAATCCAGATTATTCCCAGCCCTTAAGTCATCCAAAAGTTAACGGATGCCATAGAAAGAAAATACCATCTCCCTAACCACACTTTAGGCCAAGGAACTCTGACTAATGTTCAGACTATACACCACATGCTAACAACAAGACACATGCGCAGAGGTAAGTTAGGGTCGAAGGAGACGTCACGCCGTCCGGAGTGGTGACGTGACCGATACAGGGACTGTGGCTGAGGCTGACTGTCACGCTGAGAAGTCCCTAAAGCGACAGATGGGACAGCATTGATTTGAAGGCTCGAGTACGGTGGTTTTCAAACTTGGGGATCTCGAGCTTCTGGGAGGTGACCGTCCAAGGTCAAGGCAGAGGTCACAGTGTAACGTCTGTGGTGCCCATGGCAGTCCCACCCTGAGAGGGAGCCAAGCCGACCCCACGGAAAGATATTCAGAGGCCGCAACGGCCGTTCGCGCAGATTAGAAACCAGGATTCCCAAACTTGCATCCGCCGCCGGGTCTCCAGGCCCTGAGGCCTCATTCTGTGCCTGGCACTGATCCCAGGGCTGGGAATGGGAGCGAGTCCCCTAAGCGCCCAGCCTCGGGGGAGCCGCCAGCCCCGAGGGAGCGAGGGACACACGGGCCGACCCGAAACGGCAGGTCTCACGCGTCCTGACGAAAGGCGCAGGCACAGGAGGAAGCGCGTGGTAGTGAGACTTCGGACGTATGTGCAAAATGAGGAATACATTCTGGCAGGAATTTCCATTCATTCATTCATTCATTCATTCATTCATTCATTCATTCATTCATTCATTCACGCTCCTTGTACCAGTCTCCTCCCACATCCCCACAGCCTTGTCCGTTGCCTTGGTCTCCTCTGTCTTAGGCCTTCGGGTAAAACACCCAGGACACAGGATGCTGAATTCATTCATCCTGGAAGGAAACCTATACGCAGCTCATCAGTTGCACTAAAAAAATAATAATAATAAAAAAATCCACTCCTCCCATCAACATGCCCGGGAGGCAGAAGGCAGGCCCTAGGAGGGAACCTGTGAGCGGCCCATAGGTTCCTTACGCGAAGCTCCAAGGAACCGTGACCTTGCTTCACCCCCCAGAGAAGTGAGAACCTGGCCTGACCTCCTCTGCTCTGTGCTCCCCTCCAGCTGGAGGTCCCGGTTCTCTCTCTGATCCCCACCCTGGCCCCGG